AGCATGTTCTATGTCTTTTCCTAAATGCTTTCACCCTCTAGGCTTTTCTCCTGATGGTCTCATGTGCTGTAGCACCTTCTCCGCCATCACAATTCTATTCACATAAGGTTCAGTCCAAGGACACATCCGCAAACCTGACTCTGCTGGAGAAGTGCCCTTCCTCCTCAGGCTATCATGCTTATTCCTCTAGCTCCTGTTTCCACTGCCCTGCATTCTAGAATATGGTTTGTATGTCAGTCTCTCCTATCTATCTTCCACACAGCTTTCCATTCAGAGAGAGAGCCTTAATTACCTCTGGTCCCCACAGAACTCTCGCCAGAAAGGTTCAATGTATGTTGCATAAATTAGTGAAAACTCCACATATATATTGTCAAAAGCAAAATCTCACCCAGTTTTCTTCTGCCTCTTCAGATGTACTCTGGTTATTTTCCTAAATCAACCTATCTTCAGGCATAAGTCAGGAGAGAAACTGATGAGAGAATTCACATTTTCTGAGCTATCATACAGAACAGGTGAAGCAAGAATTATTGACTTCACTGAACAGATTAGGAAAAGGATGGAAAAACCTTTTTTTATTTTTTGAGATGGAGTTTCACTGTTGTTACCCAGACTGGAGTGCAATGGCACGATCTTAGCTCACTGCAACCTCCACCTTCTGGGTTCAAGCAATTCTCCTGCCTCAGCCTCCCGAGTAGCTGGGACTACAGGCACGCACCACCATGCCCAGCTAATTTTTGTATTTTTAGTAGAGACGGGGTTTCATCTTGTTGACCAAGATGGTCTCAATCTCTTGACCTCGTGATCCATCCGCCTCGGCCTCCCAAAGTGCTGGGATTACAGGCCGGAAAAACCTTTTATGTAACATATTTAGCAAGCAGCAGGGCACAGAGACTTCAGAGCAGGATATCTGATTCCAAAAACAGAAGACAAAATTCTTGCCCTCAAGAAACTTATGGTCTAGTTGGAACTATAAGACAAATACAACAAAAGGCAAATAACTTATCCAGAGTGGAGTTTCTCACCCTTACCACTATTGATATTTGGGGCTAGATAATTCTCCATGTGTGGGCTGTCCTACATGCTATAGGATGTTTAACAGTAGACCTGTCCTCTATCACTTGATGCCAGTAAGCACTCACTCCGCCCAACCCTGTTGTGACAACCACAAATGTCTCTAGACATTGCCCTGTAGAACCACTCATCTAGAGCAACTGCCAAGTTTATCTCTCAACCACTGCAATTATATAACCTCACCATTAGGATTGTTTCCTTATCTATTCTCAGACATAGGTCTGCAATGCCCTCCAGCAGCATGTTGGACCTTACCCACCCACCCAACTTTATCATTGTACCATTCTGCCTACATTTTCCCTTCAAGCTGAATTATTTTTCATGCTGATGTCTCAGTAGAACATCTTCGAATCCTTTTCAGAATGACACAAGGTAGAGGTAAAAATAATCCAATCACAGGACAGGAGAAAACACACATAAGGCCATGTGATTAACCAGCGAATTATCCCACTATTGAAATCTTCCCAAATTCCTTTTCATAACACTGCTACGAAAGTGTGAACCAGAGGCCAAAGATGGACAAGAGCTATTTCAGTCCTGGCAGTCTTGGTTAGAATGGGCTTTGCCAAAGAGCTGAGCATAAGAGCTATCTGCCCAGGCGTGAGAATTCCAGAAAAAACTGAGGCGTCAAGGGCCAGAGTTGGGAAGAGCCATGAATCTCAACAAGATTTTCTAAACATACAAACTACATTTTTCTGCAAACTTTAAAACTGGAAACCTTGTTATTTTCACTTTTTGACATAAACCTAACTCCGAAATGAAGTTTATTTTGGTCAATTCTAATAAAATACACAAAAAAATATTATATCCAAGAACACAAAATAAAATGTATGAACAATACCTGGCACATCTATATAAATGATAGCTATTATTATATATCTTAATTTAACAATCTTTTATATTTGGTCACAGTGTAAAACGGAACAGGAAGCTTCAGTTTACCAAAGCCCAGAAGTAGAGTTATAAGTCCCAAGAATTTACAGCTAGTAAATGATGCAGTTTTGAATGCAGTCTGATTCCATATTCAAGGCTCATTTTACTGCCATGTGACAACTTCAAGATTAACTTATTGATAAACTCAGACAAGTGCTTCTCCACCGGGGGTCATTTTGACTATCAATGGATATTGGCAATATCTGGAGATACTGACACAACTAGGTGGTAGTTGTGAAGTGCTACTAGCATTTGGTGGATAGAGGCAAGGGATGCTAGAAACATACAACATAGATCACAATCACACAATTTTATGGCCCAAAATGTCAACCTGATGAAGTTGGGAAACCCTACCTTAGAGGTTTTTCTTTTTTCAGCCAAGAAAATGAAGAGGAAAGTAAACCTACACTTCAACAAGTACTTTTTCACCTGTTCTAGTTACCCTCTCCACTTTGAATGGATTCCCTGTCACACCACAGAAAAATGTTGAGCTCTCCGATACTTCCCCCATTAGACTCTAGAAAAACAAAAAAAGAATGTTCAGGCTGACTGCAGTGGCTCACAGCTGTAGTCCCAGCTACTTGGGACGCTGAGGCCAGAAAACCCCTTGAGCCCAGGCATTTGAGTATAGCCTGGGCAACACTGTAAGGTCCCATTTCTATTAAAAAAAAAAAAAGTTATGTTAATGTGTCACAAGATAGGAGACATGATTACAGAGTGAGGAAGCCAGAAAGTGCAGTGATGTGCTTTCCAAAAGCAAGCACAATTTTACTGGCCACTACCCACTCCTCAGGCTTCTGGCTGACAGCCCCTTCTTCCAGCAGCCACCAATATTCCTATAGCCACCTGCTCAGCAGTGATTCCGGCCAGCATCATTTCCTCTAGGGCAGTGGTAATTTACCTGACAGTCCTTCTGAACATTCCATGAGATTTTAAAAGAAAAGAAATTTGACAAAAAACAAGTTTAAAAGAAGTTAAATCCCATCCTGCCAGAGTCTCCATATCTTTTTATTATTAGTTATTATCTCAGATTTCTAAAGCACTTTACAGTTTGGGGAGCCTTTTTATATCTATGCCCCCAACTGACTATCACAAGCATACTATGAAGTAGGTAGAGCAGATATTATCATGCTCCATTCTAGGGCTGTGGAGAGGCCCTCAGCAACAAGGGCCACTATTGCATTTGCTCCGCCAGGCTAATGCACTTGGCTGCTTGGCTGATCTTAGTGTAGTCTCTCATTCATTTGTACCTAAAGCATCTTAACTTACTTATGTTTACATAGCATAAAACTTTTGGCCTAAAAGGAGCTTATCAAAAAGGAACAAGTTATATGATAGACAGTAGTAGAGAGGCTGAAGAAGGGTAGACTATACACACAAACTGATTTATGTAAGGCATTTTAAAATAAAAATTCCATCAGACCTTCACAAAGTAAACTAGTTCATAATAACATTTTTCCTTTCCTAATCACAAGCATTATAATTCATCATTACAACATTTGCCCAGTTCTCCAGGGAAAGATCTGCACAGTACACATCAGGAAATGCTCTTGGAAATCAACAGGAGAAATGAAACTAAAACTCAAGGCTTCTGCTTTCATGCACAGTAAAACTTCATCTTGACAAATATTATGAAAACCTCAGCTTTCTTAGCCATTTTAGCCAATATTTCTCACATACTCGTATGTGGAAGAGGTTGCTCAATGCAGCAGGGTATACAGAGGGGACTGAGGCAGTTCCTACCCTGGGGGTGCATGGGAAGTACCCCCACCGCTTCCATGCAAGGCAAAGCACAGACAGTGATACAGGAAATCTACCGGGTTAATGCAGGACGAACGGTTTCAAAAGAAACACATGACCTCACCTAATCCCTGAAAAAATGGGAAAGATGACACATAAGAAGATGGAAGGGGAGAGAGGTGGCAGGAGGTGAACACAGACGTTATCAATTCAGTTTAGTTGTGGTAGTAAAGAGCATCCTGGGACCGAGTTCAAAAAGAAAAAGCCGCATGTTCACGTATCTATTCTTCTTGCTCTTAAACAGTAGCACCCTCTAGTCGCACTGCAAAGTAGAAATGAGGAACAAGACAGCATCAGGGTGACCCTTTGCCTGTCAGCCGTCAGAGGCAGGCCAGAATCAGGCCTTGGGCTGGAGGAGCCTCCCTGGGTTGCTTTCTGTGCCACAGTGCTGGCAGCAGAGTGGTGAGGAGGAGGGGGAGCGCGCTTTTTTCATCTCCCTGGGGAGCAAACACCAACTCCTGCAGCAGTTCTGCCAACAAGGCAGAACTATGACGAAACTGGTTACCACTGGCTTCTCTGTATCGGAGTCAACATACAGGGTGGATGAGTCTGTTCCCCAAGGGTGTGCTTTGAGGCCACTGCCGCAGAGCTAAGGAGGCCCCTCTTAGAACACACCTGTGCCTTATCCGCCTGATGCCCCAGCTCAGCATTAACCGTGGATCCTTCGGCGTGGTCCCTCCTAAGACCTATTCAGGGACCACAATTCCCCAACTCGGGGCACTGTCACCGGATCCAGAGGGGCAGTCACAGTCCCTCTTGCAGATTTCAGATCTTCACCCTGCCACTGAAAGGCCACAAGGGGGATCTCGTCCCGCTTTCACCGGACCATCTGAGCACTTCCCGGGCGATGCAGACCAGTGGCAGGAACTGGCCGGCACCAAGGCCCGCTCCTGGGCGCCAGGCCGCGGCCCCTCCGAGGACCACAGGTGGACAGCGGAGGGCTCAGAACCCGGGCCCGGGGCGAAGATAGCCTTCGCTGCGGTCCACCCGGAGCACGTGCTGGGGCTCACCGGCCTCCCGGCGCTGAGGACAAAGTCCGCTCCCGTCGGCTGCTTGGTTTGGGCACCGAGTACCGGGCGTCAGGGGAGAGGCAGGCAGGGCTTGCGCACGCCCCGACACGACTCCAGACCCCGACCCGACTCCAGACCCGGACCCGACTCCGGGATCGGCTTCCCGCGACCCCTGCGCGCACTCACCATTGTGGTTGACCCAGGTCGGCTTCAGGAGCTTCATTGTTCGGCCGCCGCCGCCGCCGCCGGGCTGAGGCGAGAGCCGGGTCCCTCAGCGCGCCCGGGCCATGGAGCCAACGCCGCCGCTTCCTCCCGCGCCGCCCGCCCTCCGGCCGCCGCCCGCCCCGCGCCCTCAGGGCCTCCGCGCCATCGCTGGCCCGCGCCCCCCTCCGCCGCCACAGCCGCCCCCCGCGCTCGGCCGCCGCCGCCGCCACCACAGCCGCATCCCCTGCGCCGCTCCTCCTCAGGCGGCTCCCGGGCAACGCCGGAAGTCACGGCGCGCACCTGCCAAATCGCCCCGGCGGGAAACCGCTCCCCACGCGGACTGGGCCGCCCGGGCTCCTCGGCGGGCAGGGGCTTCGGGTAGGGCTCCGGCGCGGGCGCCCAAGAAGGGGCGGTTCGCCTGGACAGCGGACAGCGAGCGGGGCCTGGAGTTGCAGCCCCGGCCGGCCACAGAGACAGGTGGGGCCCAAGTGGCGTGGACCGCCGGTCACCACCTCTGCCGCGCCAGTCTGAGTCTGACTTATTAACCAGCTTCCGTCATTCATCAACACGCGCTATTGGGCATCTCGCGAACGCCAGGCTCCACGCTGGCGCTGGGATGCGACCCGGGCTTCTGACTCGCCGAATGCGGCGAACGAGCCAACCCTGGTGGGGGAGGCTGAGGCGGGCGCATTATTGTAAGATCAGGGGCGTTTGCATAGACGTGAGTATTTGGACTCAGACGAGAAGAGGGACCGCCCCCTTGACCACTCCGGCTGCACTGTAGGGCCGAGGCTCGCGCCAGGGCGCAGACCGACCAACCGTTTAGGAGCTGGCTGGCGGGACTGTGCCCGCTGCAGAAGCGCGCCCGCAGCCCAGGGCGGGGACGGAAGGGAGAATTCCGAGCCGCGCGAAGCGCAAGGCGCCCGAGTGTGCGCCGCGGACGTCCGAGGCGGGGCTGCGTCGGGGGCGGGGACAGGCGCGTCCCAGCCCCCGCAGCCGGAACGCCGGAGCGCGGTGCCGCTGGACCTCCGCAGGAGGCACTGCGGCCCGGACTGTGAAGGGGCGCAGGCCCGGACACGACAAGAGTAGCCATGACTACCTCTGTGCTGCGAGGCGTCTCGCTACTAGCTCTGCGCCCGACGAGCGGGTGAGTGCGGACGCCGGCCGGGTAGCGGAGTGCCCAGGGCGCATACGGGGTTTCCGCGTCTGTCGCCCGGGACTTGCCTGTGCTCCCTGCTCGCCTCCCAGGGCACGAATATCTCAGGGATGAGCCATGTGATCGTGACTCTTATGTATAACAATCTGAGCACCCTGGCGAGCAGGGGTCCTGCCCAAGTCTCAGTAGTGTGAACGAAAGATTTTGAAAACTCTGCCACGTTGACCTTGCTGTCACACCTAGTTACAAGTGCCCCGGTTTCGGGGGCATTGTAATTTTTTCTTTTCCTGTGAAGTGGGAGAGAGTGATATTTATTTATTTATTTGAAACGAAGTCTCGCTCTGCCGCCCAGGCTGGAGAGCAGTGGCACGATCTCGGCTCACTGCAACCTCTGCCTCCCGGGTTCAAGCAGTTATCCTGCCTCAGCCTCCGGAGTAGCTGGGACTACAGGCGCGTGCCACGACGCCCGGCTAATGTTTACAATTTTAGGAGATGGCGTTTCACCATGTTGCCCAGGGTGGTCTTGGGCCCCTGACTTCGTGGTCCACCTACCTGCCTCAGCCTCCCAAAGTATTGGGATTACAGGCGTGAGCCACCGCGCCGGCCCTCGAGAATCAGATATTTATACATACTTTTGTATCTTTCAGGCTTCTGGGAACCTGGCAGACGCAGATTAGGGACTCCCACCAGCGAGCTTCATTGCTGTCCTTCTGGGAACTTATTCCCATGAGGTAAATTTCAACCGCGGGCCTGATCCCTGGGGGTGCACATGTCAGATGATGTGTACAGGACGAAGCAAGACTGCTGGATGTGTGGTCTGCAAAGCTAGCACCCTACACATTTTCTCAGTTAAATGTAGGCCGATGCTTTTCTGTCTTCTAAGCCTTTTCCATACCATAGATTGCCGTTTGTAATTTTTTAAATTTGGGCAGTTTCAATAAGTCATCTGCTTGAAGGGGTTCTTGTGTGTTATTTATTATTATTTTTGAGACAGACTCTTGCTCTATCGCCAGGCGCCAGCCTGGAGTGCAGTGGCGCAATCTCGGCTCACTGTAGTCTCTGCCTCCTGGGTTCAAGCAATTTTCCTGCCTCAGCCTCCGGAGTAGCTGGGACTACAGGCGGGCGCCACCATGCCCAGCTGATTTTTGTATTTTTTAGTAGAGACACAGTTTCACCATGTTGGCCAGGATGATCTCATCTCTTAACCTCGCAATCTGCCCAGTGCTGGGATTACAGGCCTGAGCCATCATGCCCGGCCTCTTTCGTGTTTTAAAGGGCACAGCTTAAATTACTGTTTCTCCATGAGTCTTCCTCTTCCCTGCCCATTCTGAGGACCTGGAGAGTGTGGGGAACGTGCAAGTATTAAAGGTATTTCCACCTGGCACTCTCGACTCTTTCTGAATCTCTTGATTCAGTCAGTCTTGATGGTAGAGGATTTGATTATTCTTTTTTTTTTTTAGATAAAGTCTCACTCTGTCCAGGCTGAAGTGTAGTGGTGTGATGGTGTGATCTCAGATCACTGCAACCTCCATCTCCTGGGTTCAAGCAATTCTCCTGCTTCAGCCTCCCGAGTGGCTAGGATTACAGGTGCCCACCACCACACCTGGCTAATTTTTGTATTTTTAGTAGAGATGGGGTTTCACCATGTTGGCCAGGCTGGTCTCAAACTCCTGACCTCAGGTGATACCCCCACCTTGGCCTCCCAAGGAGCTGTGTTTACAGGCCTGAGCCACCTGGCCCAGCACACAAATCAGGTTTAATCATAATGAGCTTCTAATCCAACAGTTTGGTATTTTCACTTTTCAATGTAATCCCAAGGGACACCTCAATCCCAGCACTAAAGATAAACACTTCCCCTGAATTTATACCCTGACACCCCCGTTACTTTTGTACTTTTTTTTTTTTGAGACAGTCTCACTCTGTTGTGTAAGCTGGAGTGCAGTGGCATGATCTCATCCCACTGCAGCCTCCACCTCCCAGGTTCAAGTGATTGTCGTGCCTCAGCCTCCCAAGAGCCTCCTGAGAAGTTGGCATTACAGGTGGGTGCCACCACACCCAGCTAATTTTTGTACTTTTAGTAGGGACAGGGTTTCACCACGTTGGCCAGGCTGGTCTTGAACTCCTGACCTCGTGATCCGCCCACCTTGGCCTCCCAAAGTGTTGGGATTACAGGCGTGAGCCACCACCCCTGGCTGCTTTTGCACTGTTTCTTGTAGTTGATGACACCCACACAGTTCTCACAACCTACCTCCTCACCACACTGAGTCAGTCACACACAACTCACTCCCCCTGTGGAGAGCTTAATATGGGGTACTTACCATCTTGTCTCTCAGTAGGTTCATGAGACTGAAGAGGAAAATATTTAATGTTTTTTATCCATTAGATCAGAACCTGTTCGAAAGAAGAAGAAGGTAGATCCTAAAAAAGACCAAGCAGTAAAGGACCGCTTGAAAAGGAGGATCCGAAAACTGGAAAAGGCTAGTCAAGAGCTAATTCCTATTGAAGATTTTATTACCCCTATAAAGTTCTTGGATAAAACAAGGTAAGGATCCTTCTCTAAGGACGAAGTCCTCAGGGCAAAAGAGTTCTATCAGCTTCAGGTAGTTGTGTCTGTAGTTCACACCTGTGATAGTAATGGGTCAGTAGGCTTGAGCTGACTAGGCCCTGATGAGTTCTTGCTCCTTTTGGGACCAGGAGAAAGCATTCTTGGGTGGTACTTTAAATGGCTCTAGGTGGGAAAGAACTTAAGACAACTGATCATCCAGGCCAGATGCTTAAGCACTGCTTTGGAGTTCATGTCACTGTCATGCATGAGGAGTCTCGACTGTTTCTGATCCCTTGGTCCTTGAGTCTGAAGCTCTCACCTTATCCTGACAGAAGACCCTTGGCCTCTTGTTTTTTCATGTAGATACCTTTAGTTGGTATTTGTTGGGATTGGACTGTCTTCAGGGTTAGCAGCTCCTGCTGCCCTTTTGTAAGCAGTGTACACCATCTATAAAGTGGCAGGTGTCAAAGTCACCTCTCACCGAAGGTAGTATTTGCCTGGGGCAGAGGAAGTGCTACCATAGTTTCCTCAGACCATCTGTTCTTCTGACAGAAAGCAAATGACCTTGGTTCCCAGTATCAGTTGCAGCTGCAGCCACACTCAACATTCCATTTCTTAATTTGTTCCAAGCTTGTTTTATTTCCAAGTCCAGTCTGTGTCTGGCAATGGGGATACTTGTGTCAGCTGCAGTCACAGACTTCCATGCCAGTGAGGTTGGTAACCCTTAGCTTCTTTGCAGACAGAGGCCTCAGGTGGAGCTCTCCTTTGAGGAGACTGAGCGGAGAGCTCTGCTTCTGAAGAAGTGGTCCTTGTACAAGCAGCAAGAGCATGAGATGGAGAGGGACACCATCAGGGCCATGCTAGAAGCCCAGCAAGAAGCTCTGGAGGAACTACGACTCGAGTCCCCGAAGCTCCATGCTGAGGCTGTCAAGCGGGATTCCAACCTGTTCCCCTTTGAGAGGGAAGGGCCACATTACACACCACCTATCCCTAACTACCAGCCCCCTGAAGGCAGGTACAATGACATCACCAAGGTGTACACACAAGTGGAGTTTAAGAGATAAACTTGCAGGCAGCTGTCCTTAATGTGCTGCCCCTGAGAGTAGGAATGACCAGGGTTCAAGTCTGCTTTCCACAGAATTAGGCATGCTGTCAATAAATACTGGTTTAATCAAAATGCTCCTTTGTCTTGTGTCAGAATTATTTATTTATTTATTTAATTTATTTTTTTGAGACAGGGCCTTACTCTGTTGCCCAGGCTGGAGTGCAGTGACTCCAATCTCAGCTCACTGCAAACTCTGCCTCTCTGGTTCAAGCAGTTTTCCTGCGTCAGCCTCCCAAGTAGCTGGGTTAACAGGCATGCACCACCACATATGGCTAATTTTTGTATTTTTAGTAGAGACGGGGTTTTGCCATATTGGCAAGGCTGGTCGTGAACTTCTAACCTCAAGTGACCTCAAGTGATCCATCTGCCTTGGCCTCCCAAAGCAGTGGGATTACAGGCATCAGCCACCAAGCCCGGCCAGAATTAACAGTAATTCACCTGAGATGGATTGGGGTGACAGATGCTATCCCTTACCAGGTAATGGGAACAGGATGACAAAGACATCAAATGCTGCTCTCAAATGGGAGGCAAGATAGTGAAACCCTGTCTCAACTAAAAATACAAAAAAAATTAGCCAGGCGTGGTGTGTGCCTGTAGTCCCAGCTACACAGAGGCTGAGGCAGGAGAATTCTGTGAACCTGGGAGGCGGAGGTTGCAGTGAGCTGAGATTGTGCCATTGCACTCCAGCCCAGGCAACAGAGTGCAACTCCGTCTCTAAAAAAGGAAGATCCAAAAGGTATAGTGAAAATACCACCAATGGGAGTCACAGTAACAGAGGAATGTTGGGAAAGGATGTGCAGGACATTGCCGGCTAGAAAGGTGTGCAGAGAAGCAGGGCCTTCCCGGTGGGACAGACTCAAGAGCCACCTTTGTGTTTTCAGCTGGAGTTACGGGGAGGCAGAAGAGAGTGAAGCAAGACAGGGACATACTAGTTAACAAAGATGCTGTGGCGCCCAAGAGGGTGTGAAGCCTGGCTGGGGCAGCAGACTATGTCTCAAATGCTTAGTCTGAAATGGTAAATGTATTAATCTGCTCGTGCTGCCATTACAAAGTACCATAAAAAGCATGGCTTGCCGGGCCAGTGGCTCAGGCCTGTAATCCCAGCACTTTGGGAGGCTGAGGCGGGTGGATCACGAGGTCAAGAGATGGAGACCATCCTGGTCAACATGGTGAAACCCCGTCTCTACTAAAAATACAAAAAATTAGCTGGGCATGGTGGCGTGTGTCTGTAATCCCAGCTACTCAGGAGGCTGAGGGAGGAGAACTGCCTGAACTCAGGAGGTGGAGGTTGCAGTGAGCCGAGATCGCGCCATTGCACTCCAGCCTGGGTAACAAGAGCGAAACTCCGTCTCAAAAAAAGAAAAAAAAAAAAGCATGGCTTAAACAACAGAAATGTATTTTCTCAAAATTCTGGGGGCTAGAACACCTAAGACCAAGGCACCAGCAGGCTTGCTTTCTGAGCCTTTCCCCTTGGCTTGCAGATGGCTGCCTTTTTCTTCACATGGTCACCCCACAGTCCATGCTAATTTTTTACACAGACACCTGTTATACTGCAATAGGGCCCACCTAATGACCTCCTTATAACTGAACTATCTCTACTGATGCTACCTCCAAATACAGTCACATTTTGAGGTATGGGGTAGGGGAAGTGGGAGGGCATACGGATAGGACCTCAACATAGGAACTGTAGGGGACACAATTCAACCTGTCGCAGTACAGGCCCAGTGTATGAATACAGCCATTTTCCCCAATGGGTTGGATCATAGTCTCAGAAAGGGTGTTTTTTTTTTGTTTTGTTTTTGTTTTTTCCTGAGATGGAGTCTTACTCTGTCACCCAGGCTGAAGTGCAGTGGTGTGATCTCTGCTCACTGCAACATCTGCCTCCTGGGTTCAAGTGATTCTCCTGCCTTGGCCTCCCGAGTAGCTGGGATTACAGGCACCAGCCATCAAGCCTGGCTAGCTTTTTTTTGTAATTTTAGTAGAGATGGAATTATACCATGTTGGCCAGGCTACTCTCAAACTCCTGACCTCAGGTGATCCACCTGCCTTGGCCTCCCAAAGTGCTAGGATTACAGGTGTGAGCCACTGCGCCTGGCCAAGAATTTGTTTTTTTAACCACCTTAGTGCAGGTAAGCCAGGGAAGAAGTGAGGTTGTTTTCCTACTGGATGGTTCACTTTTTTTCCTTTTTTAAAAATTGTGGTAAAATACACATAAAATTTACCATCTTCATCCTTTCTAACTGTATGGCTCAGTGGTATCGAGGACATTCATACCACAGACCACCATCCTTCCACCTCCAGAACTCTTCACTGCAAAATTCAAACGCTACCCATTAAACCGTCATTCCCTATTCCCCTCTTCCCCCAACCCCTGGCAACCATTTTACCTTTTCTGTGATTTTAACTATTCTTGTACCTCACAGAAGTGGAATCATAGTGTTTGTCTTCTTGTAATATGCTTATTTCACTGAGCGTAATCTCAAGGTTCATCCATGTTACAGCATGTATCAAATTTCCTTCCTTTTTATGGCTGAATTAATGTTCCACTGTATGTATGCCATATTTTCCTTACCCATCTGTTGATGGACACTTGGGTTACCTTCTGCGTTTTACTATTGTGAATAATGCTGCTATGAACACAGGAATACAAATCTCTCTTCAAGACTCTTCTTTTAGATACATACCCAAAAGTGGACCATATGTATCCAGATACATACTGCTAGTATCTGGATCATATGACGATTCTATTTTTAATATTTTGAGGACATGCCATACAGCTTTCCGTGGCAGCTGTACCATTATATATTCCCACCAACAGTGCACAGAGATTCCAATTTTTCTTTCTTTTTGGAGTTTTGCTCTGTTGTTTAGGGTGGAGTGCAGTGGCATGACGTTGGCTCACTGCAACCACCACCTTCTGGGTTCCAGCAATTCTCCTGCCTCAGCCTCTGGAGCTGGGACTACAAGTGTGTGCTACCATGCCCAGCTAATTTTTTTTTGTATTTTTAGTAAAGATGGGTTTTCACCATGTTGGCCACGCTGGTCTAGAACTCCTCACCTCAGGTGACCCACTGGCCTTGGCCTCCCAAAGTGCTGGGATTACAGGTGTGAGCCACCACACCCAGCCAAGGTTCCAATTTTTCTACATCCTTATCACACTTTTTTTTAAACAGTAGCCATCTTAATGGGTGAGGTGGTGTCTCATTGTGGTTTTGACTTGCATTTCCCTAATGGTCAGTGATGTATCTTTCTACATGCTTTTTGGCCATTTGAATGTCTATTCAAGTCCTTGCCCTTTATTTTATATACACACACACACACACACACACATATATATATATATATATATATATATATATATATATATATATATATATATATTTTAGATGGAGTTTCATTCTTGTTGCCTAGACTGGAATGCAATGGTCCAATCTTGGCTCACTGCAACCTTTGCCTCTGCCTCAGCCTCCCAAGTAGCTGGGATTACAGGCACCTGTTACCATACCCAGCTAATTTTTTGTATGTTTAGTAGAAACAGGGTTTCACTATCTTGGCCAGGCTGGTCTTGAACGCCTGAGCTCGTGATCCACCACACCTGGATTTTTTTGTTTTTGTTTTTTTAAGACAAGAGTCTCACTCTGTTACCCAGGCTAGAGTGCAGTGACGCAATCTCGGCTCACTGCAACCTCCACCTTCGGGGTGCAAACAATTCTCCTGCCTCAGCCTCCCAAGTAGCTGGGATTACAGATGCATGCGACTAGACCTGGCTAATTTTTATATTTTTAGTAGAGACAGGGTTTCACCATGTTGACCAGGCCGGTCTCAAACTCCTGACCTCAGGTGATCTGCCCGCCTCAACCTCCCAAAGTGCTGGGATTACAGGCCTAAGCCACTGTGCCTGGCCCCTTGCCTATTTTCAAATTTTTTTTTCTCATTGAGTTTTAGGAGTTCTCTATACTTCCATTAATCCCTTACAAGATATATGATTTGCAAATATTTTCTCCCATTCTGTGGATTGCCTTTTTATTCTGTCGATAAGTGTCTTTTTTTTTTTTTGAGATGGAGTTTCGCTCTTGTTACCCAGGCTGGAGTGCAATGGCTTGATCTCAGCTCACTGCAACCTCCACCTCCTGGGTTCAGGCAATTCTCCTGCCTCAGCCTCCTGAGTAGCTGGGACTACAGGCATGCGCCACCATGCCCAGCTAATTTTTTGTATTTTTAGTAGAGACGGGGTTTCACCACGTTGACCAGGATGGTCTCGATCTTTTTTTTTTTGAGACGGAGTTTCACTTTTGTTATCCAGACTGGAGTGCAATGGCGCGATCTCGGTTCACCGCAACCTCCGCCTCCTGAATTCAGGCAATTCTCCTGCCTTAGCCTCCCGAGTAGCTGGGATTACAGGCATGAGCCACCATGCCCAGCTAATTTTTTGCATTTTTAGTAGAGACACCATGTTTGCCAGGATGGTCTCAATCTCTTGACCTTGTGATCCACCCGCCTCGGCCTCCCAAAGTGCTGGGATTACAGGCGTGAGCCACCGCACCCAGCCAATAGTGTCTTTTTATGTGAAATTTAGTGCCTTTAATTTTCATGAAGTCCAATTTCCCTTTTTTTTATTTTAATGTTGATGACTTTGGTGTCATATCCAAGAAACTGCTACCAAATCCAATGTTGTGAAGATATTCCCTATATTTAATTTTAAGCTCTTACAATTTAGGTCAATATTGAGTTAACTTTTGTATATGATTTTTGGTAAGGTTCCAGCTTCACTCTTGTGGATATCCAGTTTCCAGGCACCAACCACTTGTTGAAAAGACTGTCCTTTCCATAGCCTGGGTGATCCTCTCGCCTCAGCTCTCAAGTAGCTCGGACTACAGGTGTGGGCCACCACACCCTACTTTGGTTTTAAAACTCTTTATCAGTCCCAGATAAAGATGTTGCTTAAGAAGTCTAAGTCCTTTGGTCCCACCTGAGCCAAATGCTGAAGGAACCACTTTTCACGACCTCCACTGCTGCCTGAGGTCCAAGCCATTGCCATTTTTTGCCCATTCTACTGCAGTGGCCCACCGATCTGTCCACACTGGGTATAGCCGCCCCACCCCTTCTCTGCATCAGGTTCCTCAGCCTTTGTGGGTACCTTTCTCTGCCTGACAGGAGTTGAGCCTCTTCATCCGGGTCTGGGCTCAGACACTGAAGACTTCTCCACCTCCCTGCCCAAGTTAAGTGTCCAGCACAAGTACTTGATAGCAGTGGTTTTTTTTTTGAGATAGAGCCTTACTCTGTCACCCAGGCTGGAGTGCAGTGCCACAACCTTGGCTCACTACAACCTCTGCCTCCTGGGTTCAAGCAATTCTCCTGCTTCAGCCTCCCAAATACCTGAGACTACAGGTACGTGCCACCACACCCGGCTAATTTTTTGTATTATCAATAGAGACGGAGTTTCACCATGTTAGCCAGGATGGTCTTGATCTGCCCGCCTTGGCCTCCCAGAGTGCTGGGATTACAGGTGTGAGCCACCCCGCCCAGCCAACAGCAGTCCTTTTTAAGACCAGTAGGTTTCATCCATTAGCTTGTAAAATCAGTTCAGTAGGTCATGGCTGACAGTTTTGTTTTCAACTTTTTATTTTGAGGCAATTATAGATTCACAGGAGGTTGCATAAGAGGTCGTCCAGGGAGGCCCTGCGTACACCCTTGCCCCAGCCTCTCCCAATTATTAGTACCTTACACACTATAGTACAGTGGCAGGACCCAGAAATTTGACATTGGCACAGTCTACAGATCATATTCAATTTCCCCAGTTATATCTGCCCTCCTTTGTGTACCTAAGTCTACACAGTTTTAACTTTACGTGTAGCCCTGTGTAACCAGCAGTCAGGCTGCACAGATGGTTTTCAACACCACAGGACTCCTTCATGTGATCCATCCCCCTACCATCCCTAACCTAACCCAGATAACCTGTTTCCTATATCTGTAATTACATTTCACCAATATTACATAAATGGAATCATGCTACATGTATGTTTTCAAGATTGGCTTTTACTCTGAATAATTTCCTTGAGTTTCATCTGAGTTGCTATGTGTATAGCAGTTACTGAAAATGGCACGGTATCACATACAGTATGGATATTATTTTGTATTTCAACAATAAACTGTACATAACAGTCTATGCCAGATAATAATGTAAAATACTTACTATTTCTGTGGGGTTCTGTCCAAAACATTTATTTCTATTTTTAAAATATTTATTTATTTAGAGATGGGGTCTTGCTCTGTTGCCCAGGCTCGAGTGCAGTGGCATGATCATAGCTGACTGCAATCTCAAACTCCCATCCTCAAGTGATCCTTCTGGCCTCAGCCTCCCAAGTAGCTGAGATTACAGGTGTGAGCCACCACACCTAGCTCCTGTCTAAAAAGTTCGAAAGATATTGCTCTTATTACAGTATTTTCTTTATAACACCACCATAAAAAATTATCCAAACTGCTGCAGAAATGATCACCATTTTATTTTTACTTATTTTGAGACAGGATATCACTGTGTCACCCAGGCTGGAGTGCACTGGCACAATCATGGCTCACTGCAGCCTCAAACTCCTGGGCTCAAGTGATCCTCCAGCCCCAGCCTCTGGAGTACCTGGAACTACAAATGAATGTATTTTTTGTAGAGATGAGGTCTTGCTATGTTGCCTAGGCTGGTCTCAAATTTCTGAGCTGAAGCAATCCTCCCACCTCAGCCTCTCAAAGTGCTGGGATAACAGCTGTGAGCCACCACACCCAGCCACCATTTTAAATTCCTATTTATTGATGTTTAATGCCTGTCTTTCCCCCATATGACAACAGAAACTCTTTGAAGACAACTTGTCCATTTCAAAACTGTGGTCTGCAAGCCTCAATCCCTGTCCAACATGTGGACACTCAAATGTTGTGAAGGAATTCACCTAGGAACAAAAGCAGGAACGTCCTGTCCAGGGAGATTATCTGTTGATGTGGAACTTGAGTAGTGAAGAAAGGCAAAATATGACAGTCGCACTATAGAGGCAGGACTTAATGCTTCCTAACAGAGCATGCAGCCACACACTGTATACCTTGCTAAACAAGCAGGTGGCAGGGAGCATGACTGTACTGAGGGGAGGCCCCTCACGGGCTGGGGTGCTGGCTGGCATGCCCAGGCCTTTGCTGCACTCTCCAGCCTTGCCCCAGGAACCCTCCAGCTGCTGCAATCCCAGGCATCACATGCAGACTGCAAACTCATTTATTTTTTTAATGAAGTCTCACTCTGTTGCGCAAGCTGGAGTGCACTGGTGTGATCTCAGCTCACTGCAACCTCTGCCTCTTGGGTTCAAGCAATTCTCGTGTCTTAGCCTCTTGAGTAGCTGGGATTACAGGTGGGTGCCACCACACTCAGCTAATTTTTGTATATTTAGTAGAGGTGGAGTTTCACCATGTTGTCAGGCTGGTCTCGAACTCCTGACCTCAAGTGATCCACCCACCTTGGCCTCCCGAAGTGCTGGGATTACCGCAGACTGAAAATTCAGATGTCCCTTCCCTGTGTTTAAGAGAGAAAAACCTTGTCGATCTCTAGCAGTCTTCCTCCCTTCCCTCCCTGGCTGGAAATGCTCATTATTAAACTAGCCACAGCCAGGCTGGAGGCACCCTGGTTGCCTTTGACACATCAATATTCCCCTGATGATGGGGGAACGCTGGCTCCTCGTTAGATGCTCCTGCTCTTGGGATCCCATGAGCACCCTCCACCCACCACCACCATTTGCAGACACAGAAAGGGACTCTTTGGGAGCACAGGAGAAAACACACTCAAGCAGGGAAATACTATTCTTTTTTTTTTTTTTTTTTTGAGACGGTGTTTCGCTCGTTACCCAGGCTGGAGTACAATGGCGCGATCTCGGCTCACCGCAACCTCCGCCTCCCGGGTTCAGGCAGTTCTCCTGCCTCAGCCTTCTGAGTAGCTGGGATTACAGGCACGCACCACCATGCCCAGCTAATTTTTTGTATTTTTAGGAGAGACGGGGTTTCACCATATTGACCAGGATGGTCTCGATCTCTTGACCTCGTGATCCACCTGCCTCGGCCTCCCAAAGTGCTAGGATTACAGGCTGGAGTCACCGTGCCCAGCCGCAAATACTATTCTTTAATGGATACCCTTCTGAGGTGATCGATTATTCTGCCCCAAAGAACAAATTAAAAGATGTTCAACTTGCTGCCTGTGTGCAGGAAGAGAGCAGGGAGGGTGCTGGGCACGGAGCCAGCCTAGCCCTCAGCATCACACAACAGGGCCTGCTGAGGATGCAAAACCATTCTTAGTAATAGAGAGACTTCTTTGAGAAAGTGTTTTTGGTGGTTCATACATTTTAAAACACCTACAAGAGAGTAAGCATACAAAATTCTAAAACTGTCCAGGTACAACACTATTATATATGAAATCTAACAAATGTGAATTTAATTTTCAGCTTCTATTTGAAATCAGATGAAATGGCTTTTTATACATTAACCACCGGGGAAACTTTGAGGGAAGGAGTCCTTAATTCCCCATGTCTTGGGCTTGGATTTCTTAAGCTGAGTCCACGAGCCCTCTTCAGGCAAGGTTGTGTGTTCTGTAGCTATGTGCCAATCCTTAAAATCCAGAGTCTCCAGAGGCCGACCTGGGAGCTGAAGAAGAGAAGCCTGCTGGTGCAGAAGGGCCAGTGAGCCCTGCCTGCTCGGCACACCTGCCTGCACCTGCAGTAGAACTAATCGAGGGGCCTGAGTACAGGGTGAGCACTCACAATGCTCACCAAATCAGGACGTGGCAGGCGGTTTCCCAACGACTTGCAAAGGCATTCACAGTAGCACAACTGTTTAGCTACCTCATTATTACCCACCTGTGCAGGGCTACCCTTCAGGAGTTTACCTGAGAACCCTAGACCTCAGGACCGCCATCTCCTATGCTGCTGTGCCCAGCCTGACCTGGCTGCTCACAAGTACCTGCCATAATGCTTGGCCTCCTGGAGGCTCTGGAGTACAATTGTCCAGCAGAACATCGCAGTGTCACGGCGCCCCGCATGCAGGTAAGGGGTGGGCAAGTAGGGCTAGCAATGTCCTGCTCCATGTTCCAAGTCTGGCAGGAGCTCACAGTGAGCCACTACACTGTGTAGGCTAGTCACAGTCCCCAGGGCTGTGCAACAGCAACTTGAAACAGACGGAGGAAGGAAGCTGCACAGGCCAATGGCAGGGGTGCTTGTCACTCATCCTTCTCCTGCGGCAGAGGGAGGTGCCAGTCTGCAGGGGGGCTCTGCCTCAGGGCCCACACCAGGATGTGCTTCCGTGCAGCCTGGACTCGTGCCCGCTCGCTCTCACAGAGGGATCGCTGTGCAAATGAGACTCTAGTCACTCCCTAGGGCTCCGAGCACCCTCAAGACCCCTGCACCTCCCTTCTCATCACCCTCTGAAACACAGTTGGACAGGCAGGACCTATGGTACACACCACTCTGCAGCTCAGCTGCTTCCACCTATTATACCTTGGTGATTGTTCCATATTAGCGCACAAAGATCAGATCTTTTTTTCCCACAAGCTACTGTGAAAAACTACTGAACAGATTATCATAATTTCAGGAATATTAAAATATCTTTTTCTGGGCCTCAGAGCTCAATAGCTTCGGTTGACCTCGTGAGTTTGGGGCAGACTCACCTGCTGAAAATAAGCCTGGGAGTGCTGAGTGGAGAGGGGAGAGAAGTCTGAAAGAGCAGCTGTGGGGAGCTGCAGAAAGGAGTACGGTAAGAAAGAAGTGAGGAAGACAGGGAAGAAATACATGCCCAGGGTACCCTGGAAGGGTGGGAACAGACAGACCACCCACCCGAGTGGTGCCACAAGTGCCACTCAACCCATCAGCTTCTCTTGGTTACTGTCTCCCAATACAGACACAGTGTATCACGACACAAGCAACCTGTGCTGTGGGCCCTTGGTAGGTATCAGGTGTTATGTGAGCCTCTTTACACGGATAATTTGTCTATGTGTCTGTCTTTGTTCAAGCTCTATTTCCTCAAATAAAATATTTTGATCTTGTCTAGAAAGATATCAGAAATACAGCACAGAATATGAAAGATTCCCAAACGTCCATTCCTGGTGCGGCAGTTAACAGTTTCCCTTTCTGGTCCAAATTTTAGAGCTAACTTACATTACCCTAATGATGGGACAATCTTCTGCCAGCTAGTCTCCTCCCTCTTTTTTCACCCAACAATGCACTGTGGGCAACGGTCCATACCCAGCTAGATGACTGACCATTCTTTTCAAAGGCTATCCAGTATTTCACTTGGTGGAAAAAGCTATTTGATCAAATGTCTATTAGTGAAATATAGGTTGTTTTCAGCTTTTGCAATATCAAAAACATAATGAGCATTCCGAACTTTTAACTACACTGTTATCCAATTACTTCCCTAGGATAAAGTTCCAGAAGTAAAATTTAGGGGTCGAAAGTTATGCATCTGACATTTGGATAATCAGAACACCTGACACTCCCACCAACACTGAACAAATACCCAGAATTCTTCAAACCCCTATCAACACTTCTGAATTTCTGATGGGCAAAACCTGCTCTTACTGTCATTTAGACTTATATACCCGACACCTGCCATTTGTTTTTTTCTTTTTCTTTTTTTTTAAGATGATGCTTTTTACTCTATCACCCAGGCTGGAATGCAGTGGCGCCATCTCGGATGCATTGCATCCTCCACCTCCCAGGTTCAAGCAATTCTCCTGTCTCAGCCTGCCAAGTAGCTGGGATTACAGGCAGGCACCACCATGCCTGGCTAGTTTTCATATTTTTAGTAGAGATGAGGTTTCACCATGTTGCCAGGCTGGTCTTGAACTCCTGACCTCAGGTTAATCTGCCCACCTTGGCCTCCCAAAGTGCTAGGATTACAGGTGGGAGCTACCATGCCCAGGCTTTTTAATCTTTTTTATTATTTTTATAAAGATGGAGTCTCACCATGTTGCCCATGGCTGGTCTCAAACTCCTGGGCTCAAGCGATCCTCTTGCCTTGGCCTCCTAAAGTGCTGAGATTACAGGTGCTCACCACCATGCCCAGCTGGCTTTCTTTTTTAATGAATTGCTTCCTTGTGTCCTTTGCCCATTTTTCCATTCTGAAATAATCCCTCTATTTTGTATTGATATGTAAGAGCTCTTTATACACACACCGACATAAATATACATTAAAGTTATCAATCTCTTGCTATATAGGCTGTCAGCTTTCTCCCATTTTTTTGGCCTTCACATATTATGGAATAGTCATCTCTTTTATACAGCAGTCTGGCTTCTACATCAGTTTATCTCTTTCAGTTCACTGCATACACTTAACAATGCTGAAGTCTTAATCAGTCCTATTGATTCTGATTCTTGGGCACTCCCCATGAGCCTTGCACTTTTTGGCTGGCTTCTCTCCCACAAGGGGTCCATCACAGCACTGTATTCTAGAGTGTGGGTGCCAGGAGGGCAGAGACTCTTCTTATCACTCCTGCATCTCCAAAAGCTCCCAGTGTAGTATATATTTGATGGATGAATAAACACCTAGAACCACCTCCTTACCGGTCTCTCTGCCCCTGTAATATACTCTTTATACCCTAGCAAACAGATTGAACTTTTTTTTTTTTCCCTGAGACAGGTCTCCTGTTGCCCAGGCTGGTGTGCAGTGGTGCTACCATAGCTCACTGCAGCTTTGAACTCCTGGGCTTAGGCGATCCTCCCGCCTCACCGCCAAGTATCTGGGACCACAGGTGCGCGCCACCACACTTTGCTAACAGGCTGATCTTTTAAAGATATAAACCAAATTATGCTTCCCAGCACACTTTAAACTCCCTAGCAAGGCCCACTAGGTCCCTGGTACACCGTTCTCCGGCAATCCACCCGACCTCTGCTCCAGGAACCCAGGCCTTGTCTGTTTCTCAGCGGTGTCTACCGGAGCTGGATGAAGGATGGCTCCCGGTCACACAGGAATCAGCGACATCAACTCCAGCATAGGCCAGCTAACGACCCTAACATAGGACGGCTGCCCTCTTGCCTCTCTAAACCGCTACACCCTCCTCACACGCCTCCTTAGTTAGCGCCCTCTGAACGTCCGGCTGATATGCTAATTTACACAATCTCTCAACAGAAAGGAAGCAGGAGGAGGGTAGGGACCCCGACAGTCCTAGGCTCGGCGGCGGAGCCTGGGGCGTGGAGGAGTGGGGAAAGCTGGGCCCTGCAAGGCGCTCCCGAGCGCCGCCCCGCTCCCTCCCGGCGCACCTGGGCCTCGGCGCTCCGGCGCTCCTCCCAGTCGCGGCAGCTGGCCAGGTCGCGCCGCCACTGTTCGCAGGCGGGCCGCTCGCCGTGGACGTAGTAGTGGTGCAGGAAGTGCCTGGCGCTGCGGCAGAGTTTCCACTCGGCGCGGTAGGCCTCGCAGGGGCGCGGCGGCTGCAAGAGGCGACACCTGAGCTGGACCCGGCGGCCGCGCCCCACGCCCCACGCCCCGAGCCTGTCCCGTTCCCTCCCTCCGGAATGCCCCGTTGGTCCCGGGCTCCGAGCACACTGACCTGCCAGCGGCTGCAGTCGGCCATGTCTGGGCGACCAGCGCGCCAAGCCCGCCAGCCAATGAAGAATGAAGAAAGCGGCCGCGGTGTTCAACCAATAGAACTAAAGAGCACCTGCGTGTTCAATTACATCCTTGCCCCGCCTCTTCGAGAAGCGCCGACACACAGGACGAGCAGCCAATAGCAGCAGAGGGCGGCTGCGGCGCGCGTAAGGCGGGATAGCAGGTTAAGTCCGGGGTTAGGCCTGACGCGGAGCCTGCGGGGCCTGCGGGGCCAACGCGACACAGCCACTGGGCCACGCAGCCACCTCACGTCAGCCACCTCTAAAACTTCACGGCTCTGGCCAGTTCTTTTCAGCAGCTTTATGAGATTTTTTTTCAAATCTCAACAATCCGGTTTATTTTCAAGAGTTCATACTGAGCATCAAGTCGGGGCAGCGAACCTCCCAGGTCTGCAGCTCCAGCGGTCTCGCCTTAGCGACCGTCCACTTAGGATGGAGGTGAACTCACAGAGTAACCGAGGTTGGTTGGGCATGACGTGTGTTGGGGCAGTGGTACATCTAGGGCTGGATACCCTCCCCAGGGAACGTTAACGCAGGCTTGAAGTGGAGGCTGAGAAGGTCGGAGCCCGGGCTATGGCCCGTCAAAGGCGGTGTGTAGCACGAGTGAGCAGGGTAGGAGTGGCTTGGATATCTATAGGCCGTCTTCTAAGGGTGCAGGAGGCATGGAACATTTACCTTATTTATTTTTCCAGACAGGGTCTTGCCATGTCACTCAAGCTGACCTGCAGTGGTGTGGCGTGATCATGGCTCACTGCAACCTTGAACTCCTGGACTCCAAATATCTGGGACCACAAGCAGGCACTGCCTCACCAGGCTAATTTTTTAACTTTTTTTTTCTATTTTTTGGTAAAGACGGGGTCTTGCTGAGTTACCCAGGCTAGTTTGGCTTCAAGTGATCCTCTCACTTTGGCCTCCCAAAGTTCTAGGATTAGCACCCACCTGGTTGGAACATTTATACAAAGCAATGCACAAGCGGCAACAAAGGCAAAAGGAGGCTGGCGGGCTTGGAGAAACGCCCTGCAATACCTATGCAGAGGTTCTCCCACTTCAGTGATACAAATCCTCTACTGAGGAACCAGTTCCTGCACCAGTCGCAGGAATGACACTGGGACAGATTCCCTGGAGGGTGGATCATAAAGCTGCAGTTTTACCAGGGGTCCTGCTGTTGGGGCAGCTGGCTCAAGGACCAAGCCCAAAGAAGACATTGAGAGGAAGGCTGCATGCCAGGGTGTAGGAGTAATGACCAGGATCAGTGCACCAACTGGCCCCACTGTGTCATTAAAATGCCCTGCAATGGAATCCATCCTGGTCAGGCAGGGGAGTGTGCCTCCAGCAAAGGACCAGGTGTTTCACTGCATATGCAGCAGGTGTTGCTTAGTGAAGACAAACCCAAAATGACAAGTTTGTTAGCTGATGTGATCCTGCAAATGAATCTACCCACCAAGGAGGATTTTCTCCCTCTACTAGTAAAACTGAGACCTTGTCACTAGAAGTTCAGGTAAGTCCACAGTGCTCACCTTCCAAAACCACACCTATTTCCAGTGGTGATGGTTTGTGCCACAGGCCAAGTCCTGAACATCATGACGCTCAGACACTCTTCACTGAAGACATGTGGACAGACCCTGGGGCCACCATTTTCTCCTCTCTGGAGTGTTGGAGCAGCTCTGACCAGAACAGGACCCCCATGCCTAGAAGCAGGGTGAGCCCTGGCTCATGGGGGACCCTGCTGGGCTTGGCCATTGCCACCTAGAGATCAGGCAGCCTTGTTTCTTCCTACTTTCTCCAGGAGAAGAGAAAACTTTTCTAATGGTGTGATGGAGCACAGAGCACCTGCCAAAAGGCCTTCCTTCAGTCCTGGTCAGAGGCCCAACCACCAGTCTGTCTTAGTGCCTAATCAAACATTTAGATTTAGGTTTTAGATATTGCCTGTTTTTACTTGAAATTCTTGACTTAGAATTATTCCCAGTGGGGCCAGGTGTAGTGGCTCATGGAAACAAATTTAAAATAATCAGATTAGCATGTCAAAAGATCTCACGTTACAGAAAGTGAAGATCTAAGACCAAATAAATACTGATCAAAAATAAAGACAGGCCAGCAGAAGCTTGGATGATTTAATAAATTAAAATTGGGAGTGGGGGAATAGGATAGAAGGAAAAAGAGGAACATCTCTTTAGCATTTGTTCATTCTACCATTCACATGTTTGCTTCTCCACAGAGTTGTTTCACTATGAACAGGTTCACTAAGGAGCCACTTACATCCATATGAAATGAGAATGAAACTGCAAACTCTTTCAGATCAAGTTCTTCTGAGGAGTGGTGCTTTTGAAAAAAATATGTAAAATAAAAATAGAAACATTCTTTGTCAAATACTTAAAGTGAAGTCACAGTAGTGGGACAGCCACTATTTATAGAACACATGTCTATTTAAACCCTTTTTTAGGCCAAAGTCTGACACCTATGCAACTGACCTAGGAAAAGAAAAGATAAGTGAAGAAAGAGAAAGAACACTTGATGTTAGACAATTCAGTCACCTCCATTGGTTTTGACAGAATTAGGGACTCAGAATTGCTCCTACCGAGGCAGTGGGAGCCCCCCTCAAGCTCAAAGCATGAAGAGGTAAGGAGGCAGCTGCCTATAGGCCCTCAGGGACAGCTCTTTCTTGTTCCCCAAATCAAGCATACAACTACAAAGTCCTGCTGCTCCACTTCCAAGTCAAACCTGGTAATTCTTAGGTAACTCTATATAAATCTTAAGTAACAGCATTCTCTGATGAGGCTCATTCCTGTCAGTGCCAGTAACTAAAAGCCAACATGTTGCAATTGATTCTTTTATTATTTTCCAATCAGCCAACAGTCCTCACTTAGGGCTTTCTTCCCTTTTTACGCAGCGACTGTCCTTCTCCAGAGAAAGCGATGAATCTGCCTCCAGCTTCATCCTAGGTATGAAGAGAATATACTATTTTCAGAAACTCCCTGGAGGTTTACAATAAATACCTTACTCTGTGGACTCATGTACCATCCACATTACTGATAAGAAATGTCTCAGGCTGGGCATGGCAGCTGACACCTGTGATCCCAGCACTTCGGGAGGCCAAGGTGGGAGGATTGCTTGAGCCCAGGAGTTCAAGACCAGCCTGGGCAACATAGGGAGACCCCATCTCTACCAAAAATAGCTGGGTGTGATATGTGCCTGTGGTCCCAGCTACTTGGGAAGCTGAGATGGTAGGATGGTTTGAGCCAGGGCTGTAGTGAGCTATGATTGTGCCACTGCACTCCAGCCCAGATGGCAAAGCAACAGGGCAAGACCCTGCCTCAAAAAAAGAAAAAAAAGATTATCTCTAAGTTCACCACCCAAAACAACATTTCAGGTCGCTTTTCTGTACATGCTTATGGAAACTGTTTTCCCACTTAATTCTGAAATCCATGCCAATGAACTTGCTATCTAGTATACTCCCAAGGCTACAGAGCTGAATTCTGTAGAAAAGAATTCCATCATGTAAGAGAGCCAGTTTTCTACCAGTGGGCATTGCTGTGGTAAGCAGCTTAATGTGTTTGCATACAGCTTTGATTTTTTTTAGAGTTCAAATTCCTGGGTCAAAGTATGTACACATTTTTAATGCTTTTCACATATAGAGACCAAAAAAAAAAAAAACATATAGAGACCAACCAGCCGTCAGAAACCTTTTACTAAGCTATACTTCCAACAGCAGAAAGAGGACTTGCTTTTTTCCAAGACTTTGAAAACAGCACATATTTTTTTCACATGCTTTTATTGCTAGTCAGTCTGAGGAATTATCTCGACTTTTCCCTAGGAAGAAGACGATTCTGCAATGTGCAACACACATCCCTGCACCTGACTCCCCACCAACTGCATGTCATACCTGGAGTAGAACACTGTTTAGTATTTATGTGCTGACATTCATGTACATTTGAGTCACAGCTGCATTTAGTCTTCCTCTGCTGCACAGCGTTCAATTTATCCTGGTGTCAATAACTGTGTTGGCTTCTTTCTCTACACATTCAATCACAGCCTGCATCACATGGAGTTCATCTGTTTTGACAATGCTGTGTCTCCTGGGCCTTCACCTTGCTGTACCTGGACTGGCCTTTCTCTAGGTGCCGTGCATGGTAGTGGGGGCTCCTTATTTCCTGGATTCTATGACTTTCTTATTTCTACCTTATTCTTTCATTTTAGTGAAGGACACCTTCTAGGAGCTTCCTGAGAAAAGATGCATGAAGAGTATCTTCTTGTGAGATCCTTTTCTCTACTTTTATATTTCATTGATAGGCTGGTTGGTATGTTATTCTGCTAGGGCTGCCATATAAAAGGCTACAGATAGGGTGGCTCAAACAACAGAACTTTATTGCTCATAGTTTTGGAGGCTAGAAGTGAAAGAGCAAGGTGTCAGCAAGTTTGGTTTCCTCTGAGGCATTTTTCCTTGACTTGCAGATGGATGTCTTCTTGCTCTGTCCTCACATGGCCCTTCCTGTGTCCAAATTTCCTCTTCTTAAAAGGACACCAGATTGAATTTGAGCCAACTCTAATAGTTTCATTTTAACTTAAACTGCTTCTTTAAATGGCCCTATCTGGGTTACTGGGCTTCAACACAGAAACATTGGAGGGACACAATCCAGCTCCTAAGAGCTGGTACAGAATTTTAGTTTGGAAAAAATATCCCCTCAGAATTTTGAGGATATTGCTCCTAGTTTCCTCTATATGTCCTGCTAAGATGAAGTCCCTTTTTTTGGGAGACGAGGTCTTACTGTCACCCAGGCTGGAGTGCAGTGGTGGTATCTCAGCTCACAGCAGCCTCCACCTCCCAGGCTCAACTGATGGTCCCAACCCAGCCTCGAAGTAGCTGAGACGAAACGTTTGTGCCACCATGCTCAGCTAATTTTAAAAATTTTCTGTAGAGACAAGGTCTCCCTATATTGCCCAGGCTTGTCTCAAACTTCTGGGCTCAAATGATCTTCCCGCTTCAGTCTCCCAAAGTGTTGGGATTACAGGCATGAGCCATGGTGCCTGGCTAATGATGTCCTTGATCCGTGGTGATGCCTCTGTTCCTCTCCAGAAGCTTTAAGATCTTTCTTTGCCTCAAAGTGAGGCTATTTTTATTCATTTTGCTAAAACTCAGTGGACCCTTCAAATCTGCAAACTTGTGCCCATCTTTGGGAAAACTATTTCCCTGATGATTTCTGCTCCTTTGTTTTCTCTGGTTGTTCTTCCCACAACTCCTCTATTATTTAGAGGTTGAAATGGGAAGGTTTCCGACTGTGGCCTTCACTTCAGAGGCAGTAGTCTAGAGACCTACTGTGATGCCTTTTCCAGAAGTAGAGCCTCAGCCTTCTGGGTGGGGGAAGGAGGATGACGCAGCTCTAACTGCTTAGTAACAGAAGTCTATCTTAGTTCCTCATTTCCAGAGGTGCCTTTTGAGAATTCTACAATCTACACACAATCTACACAGAGCTGCTTCTAGACTTTCTATGGTCTACTAAGTTACTCTGGCTTCCAAAGCCTTTTCGTTGCCTCCTCTTCGTTGATCTTACCTCATGATATTTTGCCACAGCCTTAGTGGGGCTGCAGGATGGAGTAGAGCTAATATGTCTTTAATCCCATCTTTAAACATGTACTTCTTAAATACATATTTATGGTCAAACAGGCCTGCTGTGCCCACCAGCCTCTCCCACCTTCTGAAAATTTCCAACAGTTGGGTCACAGTCAACCTGGAGGATGTCCCATGATGAGGCCTTAGGTCTGAATCAGGTACTGGCTTTTAGTGAGAAAGGCAGCCTGTAGCTGGTGAAGCCTGCATCGTGCCTGAAGGAGGAGCTCAAGGATGAGGTCTGATTGGCCACCCACTACGTTAGCTCCTCTGAGCCTGGAAGGTCCCAATGATGTGTCAATTTGAACACTGAGCCCAGAAGTGGTTGTGAGTAGGACACGGTATACAAACTGCACAGTGGTCTCTGTCCTCAACCACCCCAAGTGCTAGAGAGAAGAGTTTAGTAGTAAGGATGTGATAGGGATGAGTCCTATGTAGCAAATGGTCCTCTGCCCTACTCCTGGATCCTCAAGAGTCCAATTCTTTGAGAAAAGGAACCAGGAAACCAATGGGTCTGAAGCACTGGTTTTCTAGAAATCCCCATCACACAGCAGTGACTACATTTTAGTTGCTGGGCCTGGCTGCACACCCACAAAGTGCCCATGTCTACAGGATGCTCAGCCCTTGCCGTCCTCTGTCCCTCCACCACCCTGCTCAGCTAGAAGGTGCTGCCTATATTTGAAGTTCGAGTTGGAAGATGAAGCCCACCCAGGCCACACAGTTCTGCAATAAGAGCCTGAAGTTGGCTCTAGAGCAAGACAGAACTCCTGACCCCCATGTTGCAAGTCCTCTTTCACACATCCCACACCATCTCTACAGAAAAAAAAACAGGACACCAGGGAGCAGAGGGACCCCAGGAAAGGGAAAACATAACAGACACCCTGATGTGGTTTGGCTGTGTCCCCACCCAAATCTCATCTTGAATTCCCATGTCTTATGGGAGGGACCCAGTGGGAGGTAATTAAGTCACAAAGGTGGGTCCCTCCCATGCTATTCTTGTGATAGTGATCTGAGGGTTTTACAAGGAGGTGTTTCCCTGCACAAGCTCACTCTCTGCCTGCCACCATCCATGTAAGACATGACTTACTCCTCCTTGCCTTCCGCCATGATTGTGAGGCCTCCCCAGCCATGTGGAACTGTAAGTCCATTAAACCTCTTTCTTTTGTAAATTGCCCAGTCTCAGGTATATCTTTATCAGCACCATGAAAATGGATAATACACACCCCTACTCAGAATGGCAAGAACTTTAGTCATCACTAACAAATAAAACTTCTCATTACCAACCAAGGAAATACACTCACCTCTTCAACCTTTTTGACAAGGGGACGTGAATTTCTGATGAAAGTGATCTTACCAAGTTTAAACTCATAATTGGGAATTCCTCTGTAAGAAGAGAGACAGAGAAATGTTATTTCCAGGAAAAAAGGACTAAAATTCATTTTTGACAGTTAAAAGGAATGCAGAAAACATGTTGCTGTACCCCACCT